TTTAGTTTTGAAGAATGGGAATCTTGCAAAAAAAAAAAAAACTGAATTGATCAATGTACCTGATAAAGATCAACCAACTCAGATATTTCAAACGTTGAAGAAGCATAGAGCAGTTCAGCCATGAATTCCACTGCAGGTCGACAGCCAAGATGGGAGCAATCATCGTCCACACACACACGAACACCCTTGGGCGGTGACCTTAGTTTCCCACTATACAAATAACTCACAACACCCACAATCGCATCGAAACCAACCTCGTAATCCTTAGCCAATTCCTTCAATTCCAATTTCACTCCATTCCTCTCCTTCCCAGAGAACACCCTCTTGAAGAAAGGGCTTCTCGCCGCCAGAATGCAGCGGTGAACCGGAACTTCCCTACCGTCACCGAGAACGATTCTGGCGTCGGCAAAGAAGGCGTCGGACTCCGAGGTTTCGAAGATTGATGCGAGGTTGTCGGAGAGGCGGCTTAGGGCTGCAACATCTAAAGGAGGTGAAGCTTCCGGAGTTAAATGGGTTCGGGAAGTGCTGGCTATACAACATACTCCGCTTCCATTATTGCTGATCTCGTTGGAATCAGAAATGGTAATTCTAGACTCCATCGGAGACAGAAGCAAGCAACAACTGTATGAGAAAAAGTTGAGAATTACGCAAGTTCTTATCGTCCTTTAAATAGGATCTTAATGTCGATGCGTATCCAGACGGCCTGAAATTGAGGAAGGCCATGGAATTACAGAGACAAGAGAGCGCCAGAAGAAGGCGGGAGAGAGATTGCATGATGGCGCAAACACGAACATGGGTGACGTTGACTTGTGGAGGCTAAAAGCCAACGCGACGTTAAAAGCTAAAGTGCTGTGTGTCCGAATGGAAATTAAATTATAATTTTAAAAATAATTTTATAATATATAAAATAATATGTGGAAAATTTTATTTTGATTTATAAAAAATATTTTTAAAAATTTTAAGAATATCCAAAACATCTAGATTTATGAAAAAATAATGACTTATGATTTACAAATCGAATTAATTACATGTGATTAGATTGTAAGATTTGAAAAAATTACCTTGTAAGGATTTTTTTATAGTAAAAGTTTATTTTATAGAAAATTACTTTGTGACAATTTTTCCACGATCAACCAAAATATGTTTTATATGAAAAATTGAACATTTGATAAGAATAATCTAAAGAGTCAGTTATATATTTAAAAAAAAAAAGGTAATGGTAGGAATTTCGGCCAAGAATTTGATTAAAAAAAATTATGAATAGTTTGATTGAAGTTAGCCATAATTATATGAACTAAAAACTGTTTTTTTTTCTAAGTTACAAATCGTGTATGACACATATTAGTAGTATATCTCATTAAACATTTTATTAGTATATTGACTGATATATTTGTATTATATGATTGATTTTTTTCCTTTTTGTAATTTGCATGCTTCTAATCATTGGAGAAAATTCCTTATGTATAATGATGGAAAAGGATTATTCATGTGATAATTACTATTTAACAGTTGAAATATCTATATTCAATATAAAATATAAAAAAAAAATCATATTATTAATAATTCAAGTGGGCCTGAACCAATAAAAACGGTAGGAGGAGGCAACACCCAATTCAATGGGCGGGAGAACATTGGATTTTTCCATGAGAGCCTGAGAGGCATAACTAAAGGCCGTGTTAAAAAGAGCCACGCTTGTGTGGTAATGCTTGGCTACGGTTGCGGCTGTTAGTGAGGTCTCGATTTCCGTTAAACAAGCTGGTTTATCCGCCGTTGGTTCTGGTGGCAAAAAAAAAATGCGCCCGTTTTTTGTTTTAATAATGACGTCATTCTCGTTTACTTGCTTGCTTAACGCTACTATCTCTTACTGTTAATATAAGAGTCTGTTTAATATAAAAGCCTATTTAACTTTTATTTTGATACTAAATATAAAATTTTAATCTATTTTATCTCTCATATTTATCCATTTTTTCAAGGTAATTCTTATAATAAGAATAATTCTAACTAATACACTTGATTAGTAAAAATAGTTTAGTAAAGAAAATGCATTTGTTACAAATAACTAACTTAACTAGTTCTCTTAATCTACTCAAATTAGTTAATTAGGTCTTATATTAAGAATTGGAAGTAATATTTTTTATCATTAGTATAAGATTCAGTTGACTAATTTGAAAGAATTAAGAAAGTTACTAAACTACTTAAAATATTTATATTTATCATTTTTTAAAAACTAATTTACCTTACTTATAAATTGATATATAATCTAATGATATACTACCTCCGATCTTTAATATAAGAGTTTGTTTGACTTTTATATTGGTCCTAAATATAAGATCTCAATCCACTTTGTCTCTCATATTTATCCTTTTTTTTTTCAAGGTAGTTCTTGTAATAATGATAGTTTCAACCAATTTGATTAGTAAAGATATTTTAAGACAGACAATACCTATTTATTACAAATAACTAATTTAACTAGTTTTTTTAATCTACTCAAATTAGTTAACTTGCTCTTATATTAAGAATCAGAGAGAATATATAAACATATTAGATAGATCATAAAATATTATAATTAAGTAACTTAGTAACTTTCTTAAACTTTTTAAATTATAGTCAATTTCATCACACTTTCAGACCTTCTTGAACCTTTGCATTAGGAAAAATCAGTGCGTAATTTTATATGAGTAATTTAATTACTAAAAAAAATTTTAGAAGTGAGTAACATGCGGCTACAAATCTAGAAAGCAATAACAGGTTCATACAATAAAAATAGTTAACATAATTATGAATAAATATTCACACTCATCAAGTGTAACTTTTAACATAACCCATAATTTTTTTTTTTAGAAAAAAGGTAGTTGATGATTAGTGTAATTTACTAATTACGAAAAAAAAAATCAGACCTGTTTTATTTGAGTTGCATTTTCAATGAGATACAAAACCAACGATCTAGTTCACGAGTTCATTAAATTTTCGATCGTTGAATATTATAGAATATGCTAGTTAGTTTTGAATTTTGAAGTGTATTACAATAAAGTAATTTGCATATTTACTGATTTTGAGAATCTTAGACATTTTAGGAACCAATTGTTATTCAGCTTAGCCTTGTGCCTTCACCAAGAAGGCAGTTCAAGTCCCAACATACAGCTGACACACACACAGAAAAAAGCGGAGATGGATTTAGTCAAGTGTCCAATTCAATACTCAAAGTGCAATTTATTGGAATTGGGAATTTTTTAATAAAATGACGCTATAAAAAATAAATTAGTTTTTTTTTAAATGAAGTTTTATTATTCAGTCGACCATTGTATCCAGATTCATGTCGGACGCAGTAGATTATAAGGGTGCCTCAAAAAGTTGGATATTGGATTTTGTGATATGATATCACTTTGCACAAGTTGAAGCTGATTTTCAGGCACCAAGTTTTGGGATACCAACTCACCTCAATTCATGTTTATGTGTGATTTTTTTTGGGACAATTACTGTAAATTCCTGTATAAGTAATCTAATCATTAAAAAAATCTCATAGTAAGTGAACAGTATGTAGCCTATGTTACCAACTTACTGTGAGATTTTTTACTGATTAAATTGCTCATGTGAGAGTTCATGTTAATTCTCTTTTTTTTTTATTAGTATGAAAAAAATACATTTATACAACGGGTTTTTCATAATAGTTATTGCAAAAGTAATATAAAAAGTATAATAGGTGGCACTTTCAGAAATAAGATGTGAAATTGTTGATTTTTCTTTAACATTGATTCCATTTATACCAATCGGTTGCATGAGTATGAATGATTTTATTTTAATTTTATTACACATCATTAATGATATGTTACACCCAACAAAAGAAAAGTTATACTTATGGATCATAACTGTACTTGTTCAAATCTAGATCTTTTTAACCAATTAAATTTTTAAACAAAGACTTTTAACCAAATTTTTCTTTATTCAAAGTGCAACTGAGCAACCACTTGATTAACCCTTTGAGGATCAAGAGATCTTGAAAAGGTATGCTTGCTGAGTGAGATTTTTGGATGGTTTTTATTACGCCACAGTAACTGCATCTGAATCGTGAACATTGAGGTTCAATTGCCAATGTACAAGCGTGAACATAAATTTTATTAATACTTTTGATGGTTTTAACATAATTCAAACTCCTGTATCCATAAGTCAGCTTGAGTTTCTAGTCATTCATATGTTTTAATCATGATATTAAAATTTAACTTGAGTCTATTGGTTAAACTATGTGAACTAGTAAATTATTTATTAGCCTGTTTGGCTAAAAGTTTTTGGGTAAGTTTATTGGATTGAATTTTTGTCTCCGTTTACTAAAGGAATAATGACAAAAAAAGAAATTGGAATTTTTTGAAAATACCAAATAAAGAATGTCAATAAAAATTTGTTGTTATTTGCAAATTCAAACTTATTAATACCAAATAAAGTTTTGTTACCAAGAGAGCGTTTGGGTAGAAACAAAATCATGGTTTTGAAAGTATTTTTACGATATACGAAGTAAATATGTGGAAGAATTTGTATTAATTTGCGGAAAAATGCTATTGAGAAGTGCTTTTGGGATTACTCAAACTTGATTTGGAATTTGCAATTTTCAACTTTTTTTTCTATCATTTTCCTTTTACTAAATTAGAAGCATTGTCATTTTGAATTTGAAAAAAAAAAAGTTGTTCTTCATGGTGGTGTTTCAGTAATAATTCTGTTTTATTAAATTATGTATGATTTACATACAATCACCGTCCTGATTGGTTCAATTATCAATCCAAATTAAGAGCCTTAGCTTTAACCATATGTCGAGACCAAATGGGCATGATTGAAAATTTAAATGTCCTAAGAGAATAGGTGAGAGACATCTTAAAAAAACCCATTTTTATTTCTGGCTGTGGTTTTTTTTTTTTTTGGGGGGGGGTGTGGTGGCTGTATCTTCATCAGCCTCAAGAGAATGTTTCATTGAGCATAGGAAAAATATTGAACAAAGTTGTGTTGAATATGGATTGTACTTGTATAAATCTGCACATAGTATAACTTATAAACAATATCATCCATTTCCACACTTTGTGTAGCATGCATACACACAGCCGAAATAAAAAACCAAAGCCCCAGAATCCAAATACACACTGGTTCTCCTTCAAGACCCATCAAATCCCTGGCCTTTATCTCCCATTCATTACTGGATGCGAAGATGGTGATATTGTGGCTGCTGGCAGTATCCCCCAGCGTCTGCAAGAGCATGGACTTCTCCACAAACTCAGCGAGTTCCATGTAATGCAAGTCCTAAAGAGCCACCAGAACTGAGTTGGAGTTTATCTGACCTGAGCTCACCAAAGACAGAGATCGATGACCTGAGATTTGGCATTTCTGACAATGAAGGGGGAAACCTCAAGAAGTTTGGCCTTTGAAAAAGAATCAGCTTTGAAGGGGGATGCAATAGACATAAGCAAAGTGATAGGAAGACGAGAACAATGTAGGGCTTGTAAGTAAATTTCTGGAAGATATGTAAGAAGAATTTTGTCTTATGAAACATAGAAGTGTTTTTTTTCGGCACTAAAAAAGTATTTGAGTGAAATCAAAATTATAATTCAAAAGTACTTTTATAGTACACAAAGTAAATATATAAAAGATTTTATTTTGATTTACAGAAAAATGCTTTTAAAAAGCACTTTTCACTAACCCAAGCAGTCCCTAGAAGTAAGATATACACTGTTCATGTTATTCACTAAACCCAAATACTTCCGAGATGGGAACACTGTCATATTTCTTTCTTGGGGTGGATTGCTTGGACAACAGCTTCAATTTCTTCTTTCACTCTTTCAAAGACATTCGGGCCTTTAACTTCATCATTAGGGGTATTCTCGTCAATATCATCGCTCAACCCATGAGTTTCTCTGTGATGACGGTGAGGTGACTTGTGGTGGATAATAGCATCAATTTCTTCCCTAGCCCTCACAAGAATATTTCCTTTCTTTGCGTTCTTTTCTGCCAAACAACAAAAATAATCCAAAGACTTTCGGCCAACTCAGAGACTTATAGCTGATACAGTGATTTTCAGTGACATGCAAGGAAAATTTTTCTTTCGACCATAATCAGGTGTTGGGATATCTTCCTTCTTTATACTTATACAATGGTACACACATTTTTCACTAAAATGGGAACTGAACTCCACTTTTGGTACCCTTTTGTACAGCGGTTTAACACGAAAACACAAGAAAGGATCATGGAGTAACTTGCATGGTTCTTGGAAAATAGAGTGTGGCATCTGAAGGAAGCATAAAACAACAATAAAAATGCAGGTGTATACAGTACTTCCATACCGATTCGTATGTTTAGTTAATCAAACAGGAAACTAACATCATAATAATCACATATAACTTCCACACAAGAAAATCCCCAAATAATTACAACACCAACTCACTGCCTTTCAACAACAAAGAATTACTTCCACATATGTTGACACCATTAATTCATAGTACTTAATCTCGAAATGACTAAGCAGAGGAACATTTCTAACCATAAAAGCATACCTTGAGGTGAACCTGGGATTTTCTGTTTATCTTTGGACTCTGCCACTTTATTTTCATTCCTGTAGTAGATATCATAGAAAAAAAGAAAAGAAGAAATCCGACTGGTCAAATTCGATTAAAAGGAAAGGCACAATCATAAAAGAGGGTATAATTTCAACCTTTTGCCATGGGTTGGAGAATCTTTCTTGTGACGGAGTACCTGAACAATAGCTTCAAACTCCTCCTTTGCTCTTTCAAAAACATTTGGAGCCCTAACATCATCTATTGAGGCGTTCTCTTTGCTGTTATTAGTTTTCAACCCATTAGTTTCTCTATGATGGGAGTCTGATTTTTTGTGATGCGCTATTGCCTCAAATTCTTCCTTTGCTCTTTCAAGCAAATTAGGTGCTTTTACTTCCTTTTCACCTGTCAGCAGGCAGAAAATCATCCAACCAAATACTAGATAATTAGGCATTCACATGGAGTCAAATTTTCTTGTTCCCGAATGAAAACATGAACATGTCGCTATTAGGATATCCAATTAAAACTAGACTCATTGAATCTTCATGATCAGAGACAGATAATTTATTACAGGACGAGGAAAAACCGAATCCTTCAACATCCCATCTTGATTGGACCGAGAGGACCCACCCGCCACAGCAATAAAATCAAAACAAGAAACACATACTTGTATCTTCTCAAGTGTTTCAGTTTTCCAAAATACAGTCCCTCCCTCTCTACGTGCCAATCTCTCTTCAAACTTGCATAATAAATTTCATTTCATTCGTACAAGAACGGAACCCAAAAAACACTCATTTTTGAGGATTAAATGCTCCAGAAACATAAATAGGTGTGTACGAAATACAAGCAATCGCACATCAAACTAATGCCCATTTCATTTCGAACAGTAATCACTCATAAATTAATAATCTATTCGCCATAATCGTACCTGAGGCTGAGTTTGTTGGCTTGGATTTGGAATCGGCCATGGGAGGTTTATAGCCGGCTGACGAAAAAAGGTGGAGAGGGATTTTGCGACGTGGGATTCTGCGCAATTTTAAATTTTTAATGCAGTGATGGAAATACGGCAATGGTTCAAGACTCAAGACAGATCAGAGGGTCTGACCAAAGGGGGCAAAAAAAAAAAAAAAGGACAGATCAGAAGGAGTTGTCACAGACGGGTTTAAGAGATAACAAGGGCCTGTTTGGTTTGAGGGGAGGGAAGGGGAGGGAGAGGAGGGAGGGGTAGGAGAGGGGAAGGGAGTTTTTATCCTCACGTTGTTTGGTTTGATTAAAAAGGAGGGGAGGGGAAGGTATTTAATGATCCCTTGTTTGGTTCAAGGAGGGGAGGGGAGGGATAGTAATAATCAATTTACCATTTTACCCTAACATATTAGTTTATATTTTTTATTGATATATTATATAAATTAATTTATATCTTAATTTAAATTATATAATTTAATAAAAATTCAGTCTTATCATGTTAATATGTGTATTAAAAAATTGGTATAGTAATTTTTTATTCTAATTAATATAATAATATATTTAAAATAATCAAATTAACAAATTTTATATGCTCTAAGAAAAATGAAATTTTATTTTCTTTGGGCTATCTTTTTTTCCAGCTTTAAAATATATTTAATAAATAATATATTTATAAAAAACAATTAATTTTATATATTATAATTTTTTATTTAAATAATTTTTTATTTATAAATAATTTTTAATATATTTTTAATTATAATAATGTATATATTTTTTATTTTTTTACTTAGGATAATATATTTTTTATTTGAAATAAATATTATAATAATATATTTTATGGGTAGAAGTGGAATATTAAAAAAACCATAAGGGCATAATGGTCCAAAATTTTGGCTCCCCTCCAAAAACCCCCAATTTGGAGAGGAGCCAAAATGGGGGAGGGGAGGGGACATTTTAGCTCCCCTCCCCTCCAAAATTTTTAACCAAATGAGGGGAGGGGCTCATTTTCCCTCCCCTCCCCTCCTCTCCAACCAAACACACCCTAAAAGATCGAAAGGTTCCCCTGTTAAGACAACGCTTAGTACTTGGTAGTTGGTCCTGATCCGCCAAATACGAGTTCTTTGCTTTTGTGTTTTCAGTTGTCTGGGTGGGTACTGCAGAAGAACGTCCATTCCATAATCAAGACAGATTATCAGGAATCTCTTTTTTTCGACCCCTACATATACACATAGGCATGAACTACTGATTCTTAGTAGAACATCTTGTTTGATTTTTATTTTGATTATAAATATAAAATCTTATTATACTTTGTCTCTTATATTTGTGTATTTTTTTCTACAATAGTCCTTCTAATAATAGTAGTTCTAGTCAATATACTTGATTAGCAAAGATATTTTAGAAAAAATGATGCCTATTTATTATAAATAACTAACTTAACTTATATCTTTAATCTCTTCAAATTATTCAATTATTTCTTATATTTAGGACCGGAGGTAATATTACATATGGGTAAACCCCATTGTTGTCAAACTCACGAGTTGACTTTCTGAGTTTAATATTTTTACATTTTTAGTTAACAAAATTGTGTCGATTCACTCTTAAACTTGTGATAACTGTAAACTCAATTAACCTTACGAATTTATTTACCGAGTTTATCGTTTTTATGTTTTAAGCTTATAAAATCGTATCAACTCGTTCTTAAGTTCATGCTAATTTTTTGGACTTCGTTATGTTTAGTGACTTTATATATGAATTTTATAGAAATTTTTTTATTGAATGTGATAAATTATGAACATTGATGGATATAATTTCAATTATTTAAATTTAAAATATATTTAAATGAAATTGTTCTTATGTTTTATATATTAATTAATTAATTATATACTTTTAATATCATTTTATTAATAAAAATAAATTTTTACAAGTTCATAATTTGAGTTTACGATTTGAGTTTGTCTCATTCTTACGAGTTTGTTTAAACTCGTGAGTTTGACAACCTTGGTAAACCCACACTAACCAAAAATCAAATCGGATTCAATTTTGATTTTTCGTTTGGTTTTTTCAGTTTTTCGTCAATTATATGATTTTTATTTTTTTAACAACTCAGTTTTTTGTGTTCTGTCCCATTATTAGAAAAAGAAATTGGTTATACTAGAAAAATCAAATACATATATATAATAAACTCCTCCGGTATTTAATATAAAACCTACTCCATCCGTTCCTAAGTATAAGATCCTCTTTTTTGAATGGATTTATCCCCTTTTTATAAGATTCTCTTTGAATTTGTCTGAACATTTAATGCATTGTTAGCTATTTTACCCCTAATAAATTTCATATATTGCATTAAAGACAACATTCTCTCTCTATTTATCTCATTATTACTCTCTTACATTTATTAGGGTATATTTGGAAAAAAATTATATTTGTTACATATTAATTGCTTTTAATTAATTTTAACTGTTTTTTTAAAAAACACAATTTGGCCAAAATGTTCTTATAATTAGGGACGGAGTAGTATTAAACTAATTTGATTACATTAAAGAAGTTAGGTAAATTAGTTAATTATAAGAAATATGACATATTTTTTCTGAAACATCATAATCATCTTTCTTAATATCATCTCTCCTTCTTCCACCTAATTATGGTTGAAGGTGTATCATAAGGATAATTTAAAAAAATTAATAAATATAATAAATAAATCTTATATTTAAAACTAAAATCAATTCAATAAAGATTGTTATAATAAATATGTGTGTGTGTGGGTTATATGTGAGCTTAAACAATGAGCCTGTATAAATATGATTATAATAAATATTATTATAATAAAATATGATTAATTAATGGTTATAATTGTGTTTTATTTATTTTTCTAATCTAAAATCACCTTTCACATTTATATATTTTGGTTAACCAAATCGAAAGATTTCAGTTGATTTGGCTTGGGTCCGTTTGGTTAATTGATTTGGGTTCAATATTTAAAATGGGTTCGATTTGATTTTCTGATTAATTCGATTATCAATCAAAACCAAATCAAAAAACTGAATATTCACCTCTAGTATTATGTGTTGTCCACAATACATGTGAGCGCTCCCGCTGGATTCAAACATTTGTTTATTATATTGTGAGAAACTAGTTTGATTAATTTTTTTGGTAAAAAAAAGTTTAAATGAGTTGAGTTTCGAAAACTCACAATAACCAAGGCTTGTATTTAGATTCAAAAAGTATTTATAAAATTAATTACATTTCGTCCACCAGTAAAGTTTTTAATTTTTCATATATCGCCATAAGATTCAAAATCTTTAATTTTATTTGTTAACAAGCAAAATCATGAAGGGTCCCAAGAACAAAATTGAACTATGATTGACAAATAATTGGGTCTTACGGAGTGTTTTTTTTTGGGGGTAAAAAGGCCTCATAGTTCATAAGCCCAATGAGACAAAATCACATCCAACATATCCTATTCCCCATTAATCAATTCTTGGATTCGTCATTTGTCTCTAAACCCCACAACATGTCTTCCTGTTGTTCACTTTCCTGTGGGATGTATGCTCATGAATTGCAGATTCGTCACTTATTTATTGAAGCATGACTGGAATATCTGTTTAGTTTATGAATTGGATCCATATCGAACTTTCCATATACGTATGTAGGTCCTGCTCAAGCAATTTGAAGTATTGGTGCTTCATGTTACTCAAAGCCTACCTCATAATATGATCAGGCTTTCTTTCACCATCACCAGCTTCGAACGCATTCCGGCAATCTTTGAGTAAAGTGCATCAAGCAAATAATTTGAGTCCTTTTCAGTTATATCAACAGGGAGTTTCTGCTTACGTCTCAGACGAATTAAAAGGAACTTCAAAACTTGTTCAAACATCCATCCAAAAGGAGGTACTTTCTTCTTTACCAATCTTTCTTCCAAGATCATCTTCAAACCAGGGAAGAGCTACCTTTTTATGCGCTCCTCCTGGCTTTCAAGGCTTTCACCCACAAGGTGGTCTCTATTCTTCACAAGTTTTCAATATAACATCTTCATTTTTTCTCTTGGGAGGTTCTCTATGCCCAAACCTCCTTCTTGCCTAACTTTTTACAGAAATTTTGTTTTCTCTAAATTATATTATTCATGACCAGAATTAAAAATAAAAATCATAGCTTTTTGAATACTATTTTAGTCATCCATTTTATGAGAAGAAGTAAATGTTATCTAAATTGATCTTTCTGAGAAATGTTCAAGTGCTTGTTTGGATGGAAGGTAGGCTTCTCCAAAAGTAACTTTTTGCTTCCAAAATTGAATAGAAAAAAGTGTTTTGCCAAGAACAATTGGTTAGTTTGGCAAAACAGAGCTTTGGTGTGCAAGATCAAAAGCATATTCACCAATACATTTTCTAATCTCTGCAAGATTTGCCAGAAAAGATCTAAAACGTATTTCATTCAAAATTCCATAGAAGTTGAGAATTTAAGCTGATTGGCATGCAAATACTTGTACGAATCAGTCACATTTCTTTATTTTGCTCATCAACTCTGCACTCTGCTTCCGATTAGATGTCCCTCTTCTTCTTCTTCTTATTGAAGTTATGGGGTGTGATTGGTCCGAAAGAAAAACCTCCAAACAGGTCGTGGCTTGTTGCCACGCTTGCAATTCTTCCTCTTCATCTTCAGTAACTTCATCTTCACTCTCACCCTTCCTCTTCCTTCTATCTTCTCCGTTTGCTTTATGCCCAACATGTTCCACATGACCTCCACGTCTCTGTAACCACAAATTTCCACTTCATCTCTCAGCTTCACCAATCCACCTCCATCGCCGCCGCCTGCTCTGCCGCAGCCACCACCTGCGTTGTCAAAACAGACCATATATCCCATCAAACATACCAGAATAATTTCCTCCAACAAATCCTCTCCTCTATCAATCCCCACTTGAAACTAGTAAAACCGGGGGGGGGGCATAAGGAGGAGGAAGAGACTTGAAAGTTACGATTTTTAGGAGAACCCACCTAAAGATCTGCGAAGTTTGAGCAGAGCAGGGACAAGACTCCAAGTTCGTCTCAGCTTATGCCACCAATTCATCCTGTTCGTAACAATAATAATGATGATAGAAGAAGAAGGAGATGCAGAAGGAGAGAGAAGAGA